TTCGACTTAAATTAAAGTCGATGATTAATTTCAACAGAGGCTTTATTCCGACTGAGAAATATGGAAGACATTCGAGTTTCAGAGAATGTAAGCCGATATGGGGAGGAAGAAAGCAACCAAACAGGTGTTGGTAAACGGAGCAGAAAAGTTAAGTTTTCACGGCCGCTGGAATATTGGAAAGAATATGATAAAGAAACTGGGAATATAAGTGAACTGAAAGACTCGAGGGTAAAAGAAAACTTGGCACTTCAGAGTAAGAAACGAACCGACACAAGTAGACAAAACAATGATCCCAAAGGAAGGACAAAATCACAAAGCATAGCAAAAGTCGTTGAAGCCTTTCAAAAACGACAGAATGAAAAGTTGAATGTGTTGAAACAGTCGGAAGAGGAAGAAAAGGATTGTACAAGCGGATGCAAACAAAACGTGAAACTCTCTGTGTTTACGCCAGGTTCTTTACACATCAAAAAGCCAGACAAAAACAGAAAACTACATTCTCTTGAAAACTGTCCTAAATTAACAACGAACGGAGCACTTTTGTGTAATTTTCAGAAAGAATCCTCGCGAATCCAAAATTACTGTACTTATTCATTTTCAACTTCCCTACGCATGTTAACCGGCTTCAAAGAGCGTCCTTTTTTGCCGATTGTTTGCTCAAGTCGCAAGTTATACGATGACCGTTTGCTTCCAAACACACCGGCGGAAAACTGTATGAGAAGAAATTATGAGACTGCTGGAAAAGGCTTGCCGCACGTAGTGAAAAAGTTAACCACACCATACATTGTACAATTATTTGAATAACAGTTGCAATATTATATACGTCGAAATTATTTATTGATTCATTTAAACGAAACATGTAGCACGCGCTGGAAAACGTGTCGGCAGAAAGCTCGACACAAAGAAAATGGTAATAAAAAATTAACACCCGCTAAAGAAAAATATGGACTGGTCAATTTTTCTTGGAACATGTGTCGCAAAAAATTGCGAGATAACTTGCAAGGAAAATTGCCTGGTGGTACAGGCTTAAAATGACTTAAAAGCCATTAAGAACAAAAGAAAGCTTAAGAAATGTTGAGACAATTTTCAAATAAGACCAAATAAATTTTCAAATTTAAACCAGCTTCCCCAAGCTAACATCTCGCAACATATATGTTGACATTAGTCGCCCCAAATTTTGTTAACAAGTTATTTTTCAGCATGCCACTATGGCGTTCAGTCGCTCCTGACAAAAATGCAAGACGGGAGTACCCTACTCCTGCGCATGCGCCAGGCTTTCTGACCAAAAAGCGACGTTTCGACCGCGCCTCGGTCATTATCAAGTCGTTATTAAACATTATTAAACATGACCCCATATTGACCGAAGCGCAGTCGGAGCGTCGTTTTGTTTTTCATCCTTGACTTTTGCCATTTAAAAATCCCTATTAATTTTTTTTTTTTCAGTCGCACAGTTGGGCATTGTTTTTCTTTTGTTATAATAATTTCAGTAAACCATTCAGAATTCACACCCTTTAACTGCAAGATCACAGCGGCCCAGACGGGAATCTTCGATTAAATCCCGAACCGATACAGGATTTTACCCGCGACAACAAGACGGCTAGACGCGCGACAACTGGTCGCAAATTCCTTTACAACCAAAAGCGAACATGGCTTAAAGTACCTAAGGCATTCTGGGCAACAAAAACAATTGTTATTCAGTCTCCAGACATGAAAACCTATTCTAATCCTATGTAAAACAGCTATTTCGAAGCCATTTTCACAGCTGCTATTCTTTTTCTGCATGTTTGAACAGGTTTCTAAGAGTTCTGTGTAGTTTTATATGACATTAAGTACCACAGAAGCGTATAAACGCTCCATGATCTCCATTCGAAAAAATAAAGTGTTTACTGAGTGCTTATGGCCCTTTGTTTTGACAGATAATTGCATTATTGTAATGAATATTGGTGTCATCTCTCTTGACCTTGTACTAAATACCATTGTGCTTTTTACCAATGAAAAACTTTGTTGCTTAATTACCTTCCACAAGCCTTTAATCTTAAAAGATTAAATCAGGTAGAGTGATGGGCATGTTACACGCTGAGTAAATAGAGGTTAAGTTTTTTGCGTTGCCAACAGACAAAATTGAAACAAATCGGATTGCTGACAAGAAAAGGCATCCTTGGGGTGACTGAAGGTTAACCGAGTTTCAGTCGGTCGCATTGGACTTTTAACACGCGTGAATGGTGTAGAATTTCATGCGGAATTGTTCAAGAATCTTGGGGCTCAACGCCTTACGTTGTACGGTCTACACGATTTTATAAGTGTACAGATCTATCGACCGAAACAACGGGAAGACAAGACACTATAAAAAAGGTGAAACAGTTGCTGTTTGACAGTATCAAAGACAATCTGCACATCTATTTTTATAATAAACGTACGTGGCGTTTTAAAACATCTTGAGTAAAACTGGCTCAGCGATCTTTCGCCGGAACTGTGATAATTATGAAAAAACCTCCAGAACGAGGAAACAAGAAAGGCAAGATTCCTAGATCTCAAGGACAAACTAAGGAACTTAGCTCAACTAAGGAAGATCAAACTAACCTGGGAGAGGAAGAAAACAACGACTACAGGGAAATGACAAAGGGAATAAACCTAGGCAGACTGAGTCTGACTGATCTAGTCTGCACAGACAGTTACAGTCTTTACGAAAGGACTTCGTTTAGAAAGCACTCGGAATTTAACGAGGCGGGCAAAAGTTTCAAGACTCCTTTAGAGAAATATAACGCAGACAGGAACAATAAAGGTCATCTTAAATCATCTCTACCTCCGCTGAGGCAGAAAAGAGATAATCATAAGCTGTTGCCCTTTGTGACTGAAAGACATACATGCGAGCATTCGGTGTTCGAAACAAAACCGGGCGACTACATGGAAAATAAACAAGAGATTATCGCTCCAACTTTATCTGAAAGTCGAAAAAAACTGGCGTTGAGTTTGTCCTTTGTGGGAATTTATGACCTGGACGAGATGGACGCCGAGAGAACAGGAAAAGGAAAAGAAAACAAAAGATTAAATACATTCAAAATAAACCAGGATCAAGGTTTTGAAACTTTAGACGAATCGGAAGGCACGTCTCATAAAGTTTCACCAGTTGCAGCGAAATTCGATAGAGAAAGAACGAAAACTTATGTTATTAAAACCCTAACGCTTGAAGACGAGAGCCCTTTAAGCCAACAAACTTTAATCCAGGATAAACTTATTCTACCTGAAATTAAAGAGCGTACACTACCCCGCGCACGTCCAGACAAAATTGTATACGGTGAATACAAAAAGATGAAGGACAACAGGTTACCCAGTATTGGCCAAAGTAAGAACAGGATTCCCAAGTTTAGCTACAAAGGTTCGGAACGACCGAATAGACACAGAAGAAAAGAGAGATTGCACGATAACTCGTTTGAACGTACTTATTTGGAGACAAAAATTCCACAGTTACCACTTTTAGTAAACGGCAGGTTAACATAACGATACATAGCGCAACCTTGTTCCCAGGCTCCTCTCTCTCTAGCTCCGATGGCCATGATTGTTGGCACAAACTTTAAGTTATTTATTTTAGAGTCTCAACTGGCTATGTATTCACTATTTAAGATCTATTTATTTAATCGACTATCCACTTTTACATTCAAACTTCGAACACACTGTCCTAAGGCTAAACACGTCACACATAGCATTGGTATTTTCATGAATTGAACATTTCCTTCGCAATGAGTAATTTTGTTTTTAAGATTTAAATTTTAATTTCCGTCTCTGAATGATTTCAATTTATTAGTGAATCATTCACTCGTAATCTTGCGCATGCGCTCAGTTATGTCACGTCCAGTCCAGCCAACACTAAAACGGGATTAAATTCACTCTTTCAAAGAAATTCCATTCTTTAGTCTTTAGACCTTTGGCTTTGTACTGCTGCATTTTGTGAGCAATAAGATACAAGTTGTATTTGAGTATCTTTAGTCTTCTTCGTAGCCGTTATTAGGGTCGTCTCGCTACTTTCCTCTCCACTTCGGTGACGACCCTAATAACGGATTCGAGGGAGACTAGAGTTGTCTAGGATACGAAGGGGGAGAGGAGGGGAGCGCAGAGAAACCTAAGAACCCCTCCCCCTAGATTCTCGTAACAGCAATGAACTTTAGACCAACGAATTCATTTTTTCCTTCAGTCTGTAATTCATTTATTTTGTTTCATAATAATTGTTCAATTAGACGAAGTAAGCGGACAAAGTAAGGTTTGGTATGTTTTCTTACCATCAGGCTCGATTACAAAGACCGGACTTGAAAGAGCCGGGCGGAAATCGAGCCTACTTACAATTCTTTCAAGAGCTTTACGTAGTGATAACTCATAACCTAGAGTGTACTTTTCCAAACTAAACTGTAAACAAATTGTTAGAACCTTTTTGCGAACGTTGTTGTCATTTTAATTAAGCTGTCGCGTTGCTATTAACTCCAGTCACTTTATTAAACGACTAATTGTATGAAAAGCATTCATCTTTGAAATGCTTACAGCAGAGAGCTAGCTGCAAGTTCGTCAAGGCAATTTATACAATCCATCGTATTATTTCACACTTACTCTTAACATAAGGCGTGCTCTTGAGTATATGCCAATAAGCAATTCATATAGATTTGTTCCCTTTATAGCGGGGGCAATTTGTGTTCCTTTGTTTACAGAAGGATTATGGTGCAATTTGATAAAGAAATTATGCCTTGCTCAGATCATTCTTCAAAAAGGCAATTAGTCACCAGTAATAATGCTTCTCCGAATACGACGACATTTTGGACAACCATAGTTGTTTCTGGTTTCTCGTGTCCACTGAGGCTGGCCAATTGCCGAGGAAAAGAACATAAACGCCAATACTACAAGAATATTACGTACGGCATGGCTGAAAAAATGGCGAAGACTTTGATCCCCTGATCAATATCACCAATTTGGTGACGCTATCCCGGTTGATAACGAGCGACTTTTATGTGAGAAAACTGATATATCTGTTCCCTAGAAGAGCTGTTGAGCATATTTCCAGTTAGAGGAGCGTGGCATTGTTTTGTACAATGGCCAAATTAAGCCACCTTAATGTGTTATTCCAAGAAGTTCAGGCCTTTAAAAGAAAAAGTTCTCTAAACATAAGCGAAAGTAAGACAAGACGGCCGCCATTCTTCCTGCCGAAGTTGAATATAACGAAAACATCGACAGAGGCAGGAAAATTTCATAAAGCTGATTTAGAGTTGGATGTACGCGGGCTCGAGAGAAAAGCTTTACAAGGGGATGAAGTTTTAAGTAAGACAGGAATACAAAGTAAGAAAAAGACAAGATGGACGACTAAAAACAAGGTAAATAAACTTTCATCTCCTGGCAACAAGATGTTAGATCAGGAAAGTCGCGACCCCTCTCTTCCGCTGCTATACTCCAAGTCTTTAACACCAACCCTCTCTAAAGAAAAGAATGCGAGCTTCTCTAATCCAAAGAAACTTCCTGTACACGAGCTAGAGTTCGCGCTTACCACGCTATTGAAAGTGATCGAGAGAAGTAAAGAACAGAAAAAGACAACGAAGGAGAAATTTGAAAGGAGCGTTGTAAAGGGAGAGCAGAAGCCAATAAATGAAAAGACCCGCCTTGTGGAGAAGCCGAGAACTGGCCTTTCTTCCGAGTGTTCTATTTAAGCTATAGACAAAGAAACATTTAGTCAGACCAGTGCAACATAAAGCGACAACTTCGCCTCATACAATCAAAACACAAAAAAAGGTTGCGTTACAGGGAACACTGAAATATAATTTAAAAAGGGAGTAACAAAAAATCAAATAATGATTTTAAAGAGCATAGTTTCCCTCAATTCATTTAAATCTACTCGTTGCTTAACAGTCCAAGATGTTTTTCTGAAACAACGAAATACCAGGAGAATGTGGAAAATTGTGCTTATCTCTGAAAAAATCCTTTCTATGCCCCAGCGTTGGTTGAGGATTTGTCAACCGGAATTACTACAGTTTCGAAGTTTACGACAAGTTTTAAAATGACGAGAATCAAGACGAGCTTGTACGGCGATCGGGACAATATTCTGACCAACAAAAGTTTCCTGTGCCAACCCCTTTTGGGAGCTCAAAGATGACGACGACGGCAGCGAAAACGTCTCTTAAAAAGTGAATTCACGCTGTTTCGAAATTCATCGCTCTTATTCCAAGTCGTTCAACTTGTCAAATATTGGTGAATTTTTATGGAACTGAATTCTAAAGGACTGCTTAGAAAATCGTTGTCTGGAGTTCACGCCCTCCAGAAAACGCGAAATTAGGCGGTTTCATGTCGTTGTCGTGAAAAGACGGCAAAGAAAGGTACGAAAAGCGTTCTGCACGTGTAAAGTTGCTATTTGGGTAATACCAGTTGCTTTTATGATGTTTTGGCTGCTGTCGTCGTCGTCCTTGTTGAAGCTACCTAACAGTCAATAAATGAAGCGGCAGCGTCCCCAACAGTTCTATGATGCAGCTTGACGAAAAACCGACACAGCATCATAGAATACCTCAAAGTGGTATGGAAGCAACGAGCAAAATTCTAAACCAGTTGCATATAATTCATTTTTATTTAGCAAGTGAACAAGTCTTGCTCTAAAATATCCCCTTAAAGTGTTCTACTTGTACCTTGTCCTTTCTTACTTAGTAAGCTAAATTTCTGTTGTGGTAAGTTTTGCCTATCATGCAGAGTAAATAAACCACTGTGCCCAAATTTCTCGGAACAGCGTTTTTCTTTCCCGTCATTGAACTCAATATGAGCGGAAACTAAACAACCGCACAACGATGAATAAATAACACTCGATGTTACTGGCAAATTGGTGTACAAAAGAAAAATACGACGTTTTATTGAGAATTAATTGTTTCTAATGTCATGAAGATATGTCTGTTAGAAGTTATCGTCTGATAATACTGGAAGATTCTTTAGCCGTTCCCGCTTATCATATATTAAGAAAGTTGCTTGAGGTGAAAGCAAAAAAATAATTTCCATCTTCAGCTTATGAATGCTCGTGTGTATAACAGAATAGAGTTGACAGTGAGGACATTTCAATTCTCGTTTCTGTCCACATCATATCACCAGTTTGGCGCAAGCCAGTCAAAGAATTTCATGGCTAATTCAAAACCAAGGAAGCAGGCCTATAAAGCAAATAAAACCCCAGTAATTAACTGTGTTAAAGTTGTAGATGTAGATGTAGAAGACAAAAATAAAGCAAAACAGAATTCTAATAGAAGAGTTTTTGAAGAGCTTATTCCTCGATCGCACTGTTGAACCGTTTCTCAAGTGATAAACTCGTGGATGTACTTCCAATCACATCAGACATGTGATCCGTTGTAGCCAATCACATCAAACATCTGATCAAGTGCAGCCAATCAAATCAAACGCGTGATCTTCTCAGTCAACTAGAAGGACGCTTTGTCGCGCTCGGCAGCAGCCGCAGCAGCAAGTTTTCCCGCGCTTCTCACGACGTGAGACTACTTGAGTTATTGTGTCCCAGAGTTTTGCTTTTTCTTCCACCTTCGATTGGTTCGTTGTTTGGACTATTTTCGTTTCAGTTTATTGGACAGAAGTGATAACTTTGTTTTTAAGCTTACCATAGGGCTCTTCTATCCAAAATTTAAAGCGAACTTACCGCATTTGCCGGGAAAGCTCTAAGCATAACTGGTGTTAATCCTCTAAACAGGGCGCCCACGCCCTCCTCGCGCATCTGCAGAATAACAAATAGGAACAGGCGTAAGTTTTGATCTAGAAATAAAACGGAGCCTTGGAAGATATACGAAACTTTTGAGGTGGACAACGTGAAGCATCTTCAGACTTTAAGACGAATTGTAACGTTCAGAAGTTGTGATTGCAGCAAGCGTTTCAAATAAGACAAAGCTAGAATCTTACCATGTGCCTAAAAACATCTCTGACCCCATTAGGGTAAGTTCCCTCGGGTGCTATAAGGGTCAAAACATAAACCAACAGTGAGCAGAATGTATTTATCTAAAACTGGCATAATCTGACTGGAAAAAGTCATCAATGGCAAATCCGTTTGGTATTTTAGATGGTACAAGGTGATATTTTCTTTCAAGCTCTGAAAACTTGCGGGTATGTAGTTTAAAAGATCTTTACCGACAAAATCTGGTAACACATTGAAGCGTGGTCGTCATGTGTATTATCTTATGCAGCTCATGTAAGCCAATAGGAAAATTCACAATTACCAGGACTTCACTTCAAGTATAGTTTGTGGGTAAACAAGAAAAATATTTTGGTTTAATATTTGTCGTTATTTAAACCAAGTAAGTCGAACTATTTATATCTCAAATGAATAAACTTGTATTGAAACGACTGGGAACCCACTGACCTGATCACATGACTGTATATTGTGGGCTCAGTGCACAGCTCATCAACGTTATGAATATTTTGACCTTATCTGCTGACCAGCTGATAATGCACTGGATTGGGGGCTCAATTAATTTTTTGACCAATAACTCCGCTTTTAGGCTTGGCTAAATGTATATCAAATATGATCAAGAAAAAATTGTACCTCACCTGTTTGTAATCTGGATTTAAGCACATCTGGAGCAATACCAATGCCCCAGTTAAACATACCAGCAACACCTAAAGATGAAAATATTATGGCAACTTTTAACTCTTTTAATGACCTCTTTTCAGAGAATCCTACCAGTAAGATCCTTTACATATGCATGTTATGACTTTTGTGTTATGGCTGTTTGCGTGAGTTTTTTGTATTATGCCAATTTTTTGTCTGATGCCTTTATCCTTTTCTTCTTTACATGGGTTATTCTGGCTTATGACAACTGGGACTTTAGAAAAAGCTTTTACTATTCACAGTCCCCTATTTTTCCGTAAGATCACCTTTACAAGCAGCCATCTTGGTTTCAATTTGTACTGAGTCAACTTAGGGGAGAATAGCTTGCGAGGAAGTGAGAAACATATTGAAACATATTTTTCTATTTTTCTTGCCTCCCTGATTCTCAATAGCAAAAAACCCCGGGGCCTGGCCCCTCTGTATATTTGAAACCCAGATGGCTGATGAGTACTCGGCCCGATGACCGTACCAAAAGATAGGGAACCGTACGTAAAAAGTCTAAAAAGCTTTCTGTGTGCACATGAAATTCTTCTGTCAAGCAACCCTTTTATTCAAGGATTCTAACAGGTATTGGGAGCTTTTCCTGGTTTGTTGCAGGCACAGTGGAGGTCAGCAGGAAATTTTCTACCTTCTTTAGCCATAAATGTCTATTTAATGAAAAAACCTTGTGCCTTTCTCATAGAAGTTATGCTGAATTACTGTTCTCACCTCCAGCCATGAGAATGCTTAAAGGACCAACATCTTTTCGTCTGCAGAAGAAACAACACATTCAAATAGTTATTATTCATAAAAGATAGAAATAAGCAGAATAACAAGAACAGTCAAGTCCTTTGCAAACTTCATTATTTACTGGTCATGCCTCACAGACGACAATTTCACTGGGTTGTAGAAACTGTAACTTTTACACACGTTGCAAGTGGTCTTTGTAAGGAGTTAATTTACAGCTGAGTGGTTACCTTTCTATTTTCCCAAATATTTATGATTCAGCTTGATATTCATGAAATTATTACCAGTAACAGCTCAATTTAAAACTCTACCAAGAAAAGAATTCCATATTAACCCCAGATTGCAAGCTCCAAGCAGATGAAATGTTGTAATCATTAGTTAAGTGATTTTTGTGAAAAGAAAACAGTACATAAAGTCCTATCAATACTTACGTCTTTCCCGTAGGAGTTAGTTGATTCAGAAGGAATTCATAAGAAGCAAAGTACATTCCTGTGGCTGGTACATCTGTAAAGAAATTAAACTGTTGAGTATTATTTAAGTACAGTGTATTCCATATCTCCCAATGCTGGGTAGTTTTGATCGTGACATTTCATTAAACGATCATAGCTAAGGCTAAAGCCTAATGTCAAACTTTTCATGAGATGAACCAAACTGTTATTTGAATGTTATTTGGGTTGTTCTAAAAGAGTTAAGTTCATCTGCTGAGTCAAAAGTCTAACCAATCAGACATCATCAGCTGAGTAGACGGATAGAATGTGTTGGTTGATCCGACCTCATACAGGCAAGCTTAACTGAGACAAACTTGGAACTTTCCATGCACTAAATCCACCCAGTTTAGTTGAAGTCTCAAGAAAGGTCAATGTTTTGCCTTGGCCTAACTGATCAAACCGTCTTTATTTTTGTCTTTTCACTGGAACACATTTTTACTCCAACAGTTTTTTTTTTTTTTTTAAACTTCTTCCTTTGACCCAATCTTGAGAACTGGCTGAATTTTTGAGAGAACTTGCTCCTATTCGAGAAATGGTGTTGTTTATAGTAGAGAGAGTTACCAAGGAAAAAATTGTGAATTACACCTGACGAGAAACAGTTAAGATTTAAGGTTTGAGAATTTTTAGGTCACCTCTGAGTAAAGTAGCACATGTTCCCTTGTACACCCCACGGATGCCAGTTTCCCTGTAAACTTTTTTCACTACATCAACAGGGCCGGCATACTTCTTCTCTGCTCCAGATGCTTGCTGAATCTATGACATTCACAGTAATCCATTTGCAGTCCACAAAAATATACATTATGGGCCCCTCACGACTTGTTCAATATACATTTACCAATAATCAAAACTGTCTAAAAAGTTTCAAACAGAATGAGCTTCAAACTCCCCCCCCCCCACCCAAAAAAAAACAAACAAACAAAAAAATGGTTCATTTGGGGTTACAATAAAAATAATTCTTTCAACTCTAACTGAACCTGTAATTTATGATACCAGTAATATTTTTCTTGGATTGTGACTTTTATGGGTGAGAGAAAACCATTTTCAATAATGGTGGGTGATCTGAATTTATCACTTCCCTAGACAAACACTGAAATTAATTTGGTGATAAACCAAATAATTTGGGCCCAGTTGTTCGAACTCTGATTAGCGCTAACCCGGGGTTAACTTTTAGCCCGGGTTTCTTTTTCTTTTTATCAAAAGCACTTTCTTGGATAATTTTTTCTATTGCTTTTAGAGTATTCAATCATCAATTTGTAGGCAAAGCAAATAAAACTGAATTTGCCTTTTAAGCTCTCATATCTGAGTTCAAATTTTGCACCAACCCAGGGTTATCTTAACCCAGCCTCGAACAACCCTGCCTTGTAGTGTACATGTAGCTATTGGTATTAGAAACCCTCAGATGTACAAGCAAACCTATTGCCCCATCGCGGTACAAGATGGGAGTGGGAGGAGGAGGTGGGGGTTTGTAACCCCACCTTTGGTTTTTGTGATGTCATTGTCATTTGCAAAGATAAAACATTTAATGAATAGCCTGTGATGTATGCTACAGGAAGACAAAAATGTAATATGATCATGATATGGTACAACTGCAGGTTTTGCTTAAAAAAGCCTCAACTGCATGTTAACTACACCTACCCCTACACCTTTCCTTTTTTATCTCCAAGGGTTAAACTATTAGTAATGTTTACCTGCAAAATACATTTTATTCGTTCTCCCGGTGCCATAATAGCTGTTGTGCAAACTCCAGCAAAGAATCCTGAAGTCAGGATTTGAAAATATCTATCAAAGAAATTAATTCATTATATTGTTATATATTATGCAAACTAAATGCATACCATGAAAAGTGAACATGCACTGTTGATGGGAAGAACAAACAGGGACATTTTACTTTTATCAACAGAGTTGATAAGATGAACTGATTTGTACCTTAAACGATCCTTTGGGGGGGAGACAATAAAGTATCATATGTATGGATGGACGGATGAATCCCTACATTGTGGATATTTAAGGCCAGTAAATGTCAGTGATAAAAACTCGACAGCTCAACCTCTACCCTACTTCCTAATGAAGAAGAGACTGTTATTATTGACTTCCTAGATGTTGTTTAAAAACATTTTTCTTTCTGTTTCAATACATTATTTTTTGTCGTAGTAGCAGTATTGACATGGAGTGCTTTGTAATTTACCATAGGGATCTATATTTTTTTACTCTCATAACGTCACCGATTGATTAAGCACTGATACTATAAATGGAGAAAATTCATGTTTATTATTGAGGTTTGAAGTTTCCAAAAAGGGTAAGGTAGCTGTTACTACAGTCCTTGTCACATTAAGTTGGGACACCCTGTGCAGCACCCATATTCCAAGAAAAAGTTGTGCCCCGTCCCTCTTGAATTATTTTATGCTTCTATGATGCCACCTCACAAAAACCAACATCGAGGGGGTAGAAAATATCACGACTGTTCCAACTAATGTGACCAGGACTGTACCCATAAATCAATGGCCAAAATATGCAGTTTGACAACCACGACAATTTCTTCTAACCCTAAACTAAAATTTTCCACTTGTGACACCAGCTGGGAAATGACACTAATCCCATTCTTAAGGAAGGAATACTTACGTAGGATCATCATGAGGATTTTTAAGCTGTAGCTTCTTGCCCATGTTGAATCCCCAGAAACAGATGGCAAATATTGGAGCAACACCAACTACAGGAGCTGCCATTCCTTTGTATAATCCAAGAATTCCCTAGAAAACAGATACCAAACCCTTCAGATCTAAAACCTAAAGGTTTGGGCCAGAAACAACCAACTCTGACACCCCTCTACCAACAAACAATATACCCATGAGGGACACCTCTGACCTTCTTGCATTCAGAATTTTTGTTACTGTATGTGTTAAGGTGGAGAGAATCAAACAAGGAAGTGATTTACAAAAAATCCATCTAAGAGATAAAACTAGAGGCAAACTTGATGCACTGGCTACAGTCCTGTTCCATACATGGCTAGGCATAACATTCCAACCTAAATGACCTGTGTGGGAAGGATGCACAGAAACAGTGGGTGTGGCCAGGAGCCCATAACCAGGTGGAGCAAGCACCTTCCATGTACTTGTGCCATGGCGCTTTCTCTGACCAATTTACTTTTAGAACAGTTTTGGTGCAAAGTTAATTATGTTTTAAGCCCCACAAACTAGTCAGCAAACCTACAGACCTAAAGATGATACTTTTTGCCTTTTAATGACGTTTAGTTTTACTTTTTGATGTATATATTTCGAATGCACTCTTACACGCAGTGGAGATTTTACTTTTAAGGGAAAAAGTGCCCTAAAGTGTGTCTAACGATATACTAACTAGTCAGTGAGAACGCCATAGGCCTAGTGTGGGAGTCGCTTGCTCTGGGTTATGGTCTCCTGGTGTGGCATCCTTTAAAACAAAACTTACACTGTGGCTATGCAAATCCCTGTTACTAAAAAGAAACTTGCAGTCAAGTGCAGCATGAGCTTAGCTTGCTGATCTTACCTCTTTTCTAACTGTTTTCATGGCGCAGTCCAATGTTCCTGTGAACATTGGCTTCTGCCCAGGTTCAGGTGTTGGCATTGTTTGAAGGCGAACCTTTCAAAAATAAAATAATATTCTTTACCTGTTTTGTTATATATTACTTTCCTATGTTTTTTTTTTTTTTTAAAAACATTCTCTGTTACGACTATTACACATCACATTATTACACATCACTGTGTCCTTTCAATGTTTTTAACATAGTTTCCTCTACAGACCTATCTTGGGCTTTACTGGACACTTTTGGAATGAAATCAGGAAAGAGCAAAACATAAAATTATTACGTGCATGTATGGAGTTAGAGTCGTCAAACGTTGCGTGACACAAATCGCGTCTCTAGCTGCAAAAAGTGAGGTTTATTCGAAAGTTTAACCAAAATAGTTTTACCCAAATAAATATTTTGAAATTTAAAACCACGTTTCTTGATATTTGGTTAAAATTTGCTACGTATGTCGATGAATTGTGAAAACACAACGCTAACAATCAACGCGCGCATTGGAAGCACTAGATGGACTTTGTCCCGTGTGAATATTAAAATAATAATATAAAATAAATCTAACTTCGAAATGTGCTGAGTAACTCTGATGATTTCATATTTTTTCATATAAAGTAAAATAAGATTACCTACAACCTTTTAAAGAGCGATTAAAAGTTGAAATTCTTACGAACTAGAAAACACCTTTAAAAAATTCTTCCACGAACACACACTTTTAGCTCATCAACTACTGGAGAGGAGATTCATACTGTATTTTTTTCAGCGTACCTTAATGGTATCAAGGGGATGTCCAGTTACCACACAACATACTCCTCCAAAACCTCCTGCGAGGAAGTTCTTCAAGCCAGAAGTACTCCTCGTTTGTTTCTTTGGGCCATCTACCACCTTCTGTTCTGCCATTGACTCCGCCATGTTGACTGTCGCGTCACGAACTGGAAGAAAATGGACTGGGGACAATCTTATGCGAAGAGCCTGCGTTAAATTCCAGCGTTACACTTATCCATCCAACGCCCCCGCTAAATTGAGGTAGGATAGTCTGAGGACTCTCTAGAATAGAAATGAAACTGACTAATTTTAATTTTCTCTTAGGGTGCTCTTCAGGACGGAAAGCCAATCTCTTTTTCCGTGCATTTTTTACGGTTGGCGTAAAAATAATATCTGAAAAGCAAACGCCGTCATCGATGTAAACAGCTCTTGAGCAATTTGAATCAGCATAGCAAGTTGATTTGGTAGTCTCCTCATGTATGGTCTCCTTTGATGGGGTCAAATAAAGCCTGAGCTACGCCCAAATAGGTCTCCTTTAGGGATTTAAACCAAGGCACAGGGCACCCGATTACCCGAACGTTGTATCAGCCAATAAAATAATATGTTTAGGAGTTTTTTTACGAAGGGATTTGAATCCGATTAGAGAAGTTAACATTGCTGGTATCAAATGGTTGTTTGGCTAGCTCGTCGGACGCAAGAGTTACGTCTCAAGTTTCCAATATTGTTAACTATTAATTCTCCTTGGTAAAGAGAAGAAATCAGAGATCGCCCCCCAAGGAGAGTTACGACGCGCCACCCAAACAAACATTTTATAACGGCAATGTTAACCGTACAGACACGAGTCGAAGGATTCTAAGTAGGGACTGAATTTCAGGCCTTCCTTCGCGGTAATAAGGGGAGAGGAGATTTCCACCCGCCTGATAGACCTCGTACTCAGGCTAAGTAAGGGAAGCAGATTAAGAAGATTTCATAATACTCAAACAAGCACACAAGTTTTCTCTACTTTCATTCTTTTTCTTTAAACTTTTCTTCTGACCTGCTATTCGATAATTTGAAGACTTATTCACTCTTGCGATAACAGCAAGCAAGCTATGAAATAAAAACTGTACAACGTTTTCACGGGTTGGCTGTCTTATCTTTCTCTCGAGTTCATCTGATCACTTCATAAGCGAGGTTTACACAATGACATTCCATGATGCACCGTGATCTTCTAAAAATTAATAGCTTTTCCTGCGTATGCTGCAATGTTAGCTTCCCGCAACGCCTCTGACACAGTCTGCAATAAAAACGTACGCAGTTAGTACAAATATCGCTCGATGAAAAAACTGCTTGATAACTTTCACTTCAAATCACTGACTTAGTTTACTCACAGGGGTATGTGTAGAAATCGCTCTACACAACATAATAAACGGCAGTAAAGGAGAGTACAATTGCTCATTTAATTTGAATGCCCTCACTATAGGACTTTACCCACAGACTAGAAAGATATATATGGCACAATACGTGGGACAACGGGATTGAGGGAAGTACTGCTTAGTAGCTTTTATTTGAACGGATACACTTTGGGTGTCGTTCACATTCTCAAATGCTGACTCAATTAAAGGGATTTGGGAGTACGTCTAGGGCTGATTGGAAAAAGTCAGTTTGTAGCACGTGACCAAATTTCCCCTTTACTCGTTATTAACTGTTGATTATTTATCAACAGAAGTAGGAAGGTAGTTTCACATAAGTTATCTCGGATAGTTTTTATCGTACTTATTTCCAAATTTAAGAATTTGTCAGCTTGAATCTAACATTTGTCGTTTACCGAAAACGCGATTCTAAGCCTCTCACAAACATTTATATTTCTACGAGCCAAATAATGTCTAAAAATTGTTTGAAAGAAAAAGTTTGAAAGACAAGCTGACAAAAAACTTAGTTTTGTCACTGTTGTCTTTTAAAAATGGTTCTTACCGGGTGAGCATGACACACGCGCGCGATGTCCTCGCTAGATGCTCCATATTCCATTGCAAGTGCGGCTTCGTTGATCAGTTCTCCAGCAGCGGGCGCGATCATGTGACATCCCAGAAGGCGGTCAGTCTCCTTGTCAGCCAGCACTTTCACAATACCATCTATCTCGGCGTTTGTTCGTGCGCGGCTGTTTGCGGAGAGAGGGAACTTTCCAATCTTGTACGCAACACCCTGAAAAAAAAATGACAACAAGATCAAAGGTGTAAGGTCAGTTGGAAAGCGGTTCACTAAGGACGAGGACGAATTTTTCAAGGACTGAAACAGGCTGACTTAGTCACAGGCAGACTTAGTCACCCAAGGCAACTTTTTCCATTGGCGATCTTGAGGTAGCTTTCGGGGCTGGCTAGTGTTTGGTTAGTCTGCTACACAGCCGTTTCCGCCATGCAACGCTCCTCCCATGAACGTTGCGTGACTGGTGTTTGGTCGCACTGCATTATGGGGTTGTTTTAGGGACACTCGGAAGCTGGGTCAAAATTCGTCCCCAAAAAGAGTCACAAAGTTCAAATCGAAACAGCACCGACCCAGACCTCGAAATGGCAGATTCAACACACTTTTAAACGGCAAATTCTGAATTCTCCTTCTCATAGCCCCAGGGCAATGTAATTAGACATTAGCTGGCTATACACGATTTCAGAAGGACACATTAGAGTTATCTATTGATGGTCAATATCGTCCACCGGCATAATTAATTAATGAGGAAGGTTTAACTAAGGCGAAAGTTGACTTCAAATGCCCCCCGCCCCCTCTCAAAGAGAAGGAAAAAAGAAAGCAAGAAGGCGTTCTGGTTCTCCAAAGAAGAAAGCCATACCTCTTCTTTTAGCATTTCTTCTGTTTTTCCAACCCAAGCCACCTCAGGATGTGTGTAAATCACATTTGGTACGCAGTTATAATCGATATGAACAGCGCCGCCCGCAATGCCTTCTACGCAGATTATACCTGGAGAGAAAAAAAAATGTTCAGGGTAACTTAGGTTCTAAGCTAGCCTACGTAGCAGGCGCTTTGAAGTGTCTCCCGCGCGCAGGCTACGCAGGCTAGCTCTAAGTCACCGTTCATGACTATGTGAATGAATTTTTGGAAAGCTTGAAGACAAAGAAATTCGCCTGACATGTCTTTCTTTTAACCGGTGTCGGAAAGAAAAACAACATCCGACAGTTAGCCCTCTCTCGTGGCCGAATAACGAAGCACGAAGCACCTAGGAGTTCTTAGGAACGTGTCCGTGCATTCCAGACCGAATTTGAATTTGGAGATGTTAGTTTGGGGATAGAGGAAAACCGGAATACTCGGAGAAAAACATCTCGGAGCAAGGGAGAGAACCAATAACAAACTCAACCCACATGTGGCGTCGACGCCAGGACTTGAACCCGGGCCACATTGGTGGCAGGCGAGTACTCTCACCAGTGCGCCTCCCGTGCTCTCCATTGTGACCTCCATTGTTGTTCTTGGACAAATTACTCAAACCGTGTTTTGGTTAAGTTTCTATGATGTTCTTGGCCACAGTAACAAAATGATACTGTCTGTTGACGAAGAGACGTTACCAAATTAGTGCTCACCCTCATCTTCAGCTTTGTGTGCCAGCATCGGTCCGTGAATGCAGTCACCGATAGCATAAATACTGAAAACAATCACAATAAAACGAAAGAATCAATTTGCAAGAGACTCTAAGTTTGTCAAGACGCATTTTACGTCTGAGACGTTAAAGTCGACTGGTGTAAAAACGGGACGCATAAAAGCAGACGACAGCAGTGAAAAAAAAAACCGACATTTTTCTAAAAAATACAAAACACTGACTATTCCCAGTCATTTCTGGACGAACTGGGCATAAATGCGTCCCAGATTACGGCGTCCTGTTTTCATACTAGACGCATTTAATGTCTGAGACGTTAAAGTCGTCTGTTAAGAGCATACATTTTTAAAGGAGCTGAATACCTATAAGCGTCCACATTATTCACAACTTACACTGTTGTTTAGGATTATTTAGAAAAATCTGCGGATTAGGGAAGTCCCCAAGGAGCTCCACGAGGACTTGATAAACAAAAAATGTTGCGAGTTACCTAGGGACATTAGTTTGAAATCTTTCATTGACAACAACTCGGCCACGCGGATCTAGCGGAATGCCAACTTTCTATGAGAAAAAGAAATCAATAAATGTACTTAGAAATTACCGCTAGGAAAAACACATTAGATCAACCATGAACACCCCAGACTCTCTGCGATCGCACTTTTTCTTGCTTTACTATTTTTAGAAAAATATGAAAGTGCATATTGTTTCGTTTAACAGTATTGCATAACACATGCCTCAAGTCCTAATCTTTTGGTGTAAGGCCGCCTTCCAACACAAACTAAGAGAACATCTCCTTCAATCTGTGGAACAAAAACAAAAACATCTCCAGTTAGGTACTTTGAGAAGTGAACATAACAACAACAAACAGAAGAAAAAGGAATCACCAAACAACTCTATCGGAGAATATTTTGCGATTCATACCTCTTCTTTTTTGGAGCCATCCTTAGCTGATTCCACACTGCAAAAAACAGGAAAATCTGATGAAATTAAATGGTAACAAAAACAACAAAAAATTTTAATAATAAATTTTAAACAACAACAACAATGACAAGAGTGATCACCATGGCAATTACAATGATGGTGTCAATGATGTTTCTGGTGATGATGATGATGATGACGATGACGATGATGGCTGTGAAGACGATGGCAATGATGATGATGATGATGATGATGATGATTATGGTGACAGTGCAGTGCCACCAAGTGCTGCTCCTCATGATAACAAAGATAAAACAGTTACTTTAAAATTTTGCTAAATGGAATCAAAAATGTATAACAAAGATGTTGTTGTCACCTGACTTTGATTCCACCCTCTGTTCTAACAGCACCTGTAATAAAAGTCAAATCAGATTGTTAAAGGGAATTAACAAATCAACGCTCATTTGCAACAAAATATCAAAGTTACTTAAAAGGTACTTAAGTTTCAAGTTACCCATAGGGACACAATAATTTATTATTACTAATTATTAGTAAAGTCCTTGTGTAAGAGATATGTTGCGGGGGAGGACAGGGGGGGTGGAAGCAATAGGGGTGGGTGGGGTACGAGAGGCAGGAGACGAAAGAATGAGAGGATTAGCGGGATAAATAAATAGGGATCTTTATCGACTGATTCTGTGAGTTGCTTATACATGTTCTACAAACTATACTTACTTGTAACCATTGTGTTAAGTTTAAACTTCATTCCCTGTTTCTGAAGGATTCTCTGGAAATTTTTCCTGCAAAATCAAAATCAGTGAAATCTAGTGTTAACAAACTTCACTCACCTAGATGAAAGTAATTTTTAAAAATCATCATTGGAATTTTTATGACACCCCACATCACTGTTGAGTTCAAATGATTGACATGTACAGTAAGAGTTCTTTACAACAGGCACTAAAGGGAAAGAGGCAACTGTTCATGATACAGAGTTTTCTGAGTTATAGAAGTAGAAATTGTATAAGGTTTGGCATCTAAGAGAGCAAAACAACTCTGCAAAATAGAAGGAAAGCAATAAATTTACAACAGACGATGAACTTACGAGACTTCCATGTCAATGCCAAGGCCGCCAATATGTCCCAGAAACTCAATAGCTACTACCTCTGATCCAAGTCTAGACCAAACTGAGCCCTAACATTCAATTAACAGAACACTTGACTTGATAATATAAGACTCTCTACAGACTACAGAACGTCAAGCCTAGGATAATGTTGAATAGAACAACATGAGTGGTAACCTTGACAATACCCCATTTATTCTGGGATGGATACATAATCTACCTGAATACAGAACAGTCTGGTTTATGTTGTAGTTCAGTTTTCTCCCTAGAATCACATTTATTTTCCCATGTTTCAAACTCATTATGATAGACAATATTACCTTGCTAGCAAAATGTTTTAACCACAACATAAATAAGTGGTAAATAGACAGAAAATTATTTAAAAAGTAATAATATACCAGTTGATATGCACGCACACCTATCGGCAAAGTGCTCAATGGAAGAACTAGACAGTTGCAAGAACCAACAGCTGCCACTTCCTGATGGCTACTGAAAACTCTTTTTTGTGAAATGTGTGGCTGAGACCTCTCTGGAAACCAAACAATGCAATATGATGTTCTACATGCTGTACAAATTGCCATAACTGACAAAAATGTACTAACCAGTTCGACACCAATCACACCAGCACCGATCAAAATCATTTTTTCTGGAACCCTGTTCAGGGACAAAGCACCAGTGGATGATATTATTACTTTCTCATCAACCTGAAAGGGAAACAACAAAATGAAAGTTAAAAATATATTTTTGTTAGTTAAATAGGATCACAGGGAACATCCCACCTCAGCTCCTGGGAAAGGCGTAACTTCTGATCCAGTAGCAATCAGGATATTTTTGGTCTGAATTACTTCTGAGCTTCCATCTTCTTTATATACAGTGACCTGCAGATTAAAAATACATCCACATCTCACAAAATAAGAGTGTAAAACAAAACAGGCTGTGATCCCCTGATTTTTTACATTTATTATTTAACCAGGTCCCACAATGTTTAATGAAAAAAAAATTATGAGATTTACATTATAAAACAACTTCTTTGACAATGTTCAAACTAGTTTCAACTTTTATGTACTCTGAGAAAAAAATCAATTTGAATTTGCATTTAATTAGCAAGGCTCAGTGCTCAAAGGAAAATTGAAGGGAGCCCAGTGCAGTGAACCTTTTAAATCTAGGGTGCCCAGCATATTATTTGTATGGAAAAACTAAGATTTTATAGTCACCCGAGAGCAAAACTTGGGCACCAGGAGCCACTCGGGCTCTGCTAGAATATAGCCCTGATTTAAAAAAAAAAAAAGAACTTTACGCACCTCGTTTGGTCCAGAAATTGAACCATGTCCATCAACTCGTGTAACCTGCAAGGAAAACAGGAAGTGATTCATCAAAAAAAAGGGCTCATTCTGAAGGAAGGAATTATTGGCCCAGAACCTTACGCCAACACTAAAGAAACTTCTGTGATAAAATATATTGGGAGCCAAAGCCAATACAGTACCTTATTCTGCTTAAACAAGTGGGCTATTCCATTTGTTAGTGTCTTTACAGCTGTTGATTTTTGCTCCATCATCTTCTCTAGGTTTAATTTCACTTCACCCACTATAAAAAGCAAATCAAATTATCACATACATGTCAATACTATACCATGCTGCTTGAGAGAAAAAATGGACGAAAGAAAGGAAAAAACATTTCTGCCCCTGGACCTCCCAGCCTCCAGTCCCAATTCCCACCCCAAAAATGATTTTGTGGATGAGAAGCCTACTGATTTAAGATTTCCTCTCTCAATGGATGTCTTTGAAGTCAAGTCAATAGGGGGGATTACTTTTCAAAAATATTGTTAAATGTATAATAGCAACAATCTTTTTGTTGCAGCTGGCAGCCAGCATGAATTGAACAAACAAATATTTGTTGTACATTGCCATAAAATAAACAAGTAAATAATACATAACATTTTGATTTGGTACTTACCCTCTATTCCTCTGTTTTTAAAATCTGCCTTTGCTTGGTGGTATAGGTGTGAGTTGTTCAACAATGCCTAAGAGAGATTAAGAAAACATTTTTGTTGCATTTGTGTCCTTAGGTGATGCTCAGAATCACATTTGCAAGGAACATTCACCATTTTTGAGTTTACTGAGTTGATTACCTGTGTTACATTTGATAAATAACTGGTGAAATTGGCTGTTCCTGAAGAGAATAAAAAGCTGGTCCTGGTTCACAGGAGAGCTGTACCACAAATAACTGTTTCTTACCTTGGATGGTATACAGCCGACATTCAGGCATGTTCCTCCTAAAGTCTTTTCTTTTTCTATACACACAGTCTGTAAAAAGAGGAAAAGCTAAGATTAACCCATTTGAGCTGAAAATTTTGCCTTAAAACTTAATTTGACACCAGTCAAGCCAGTTTTTGGCTACTATCTGTCCAAAAAGAACCAGAACTTACCAAAACATCAAACACTAGCTAAACATGTACTGACTTTTGCTCCTTTAATGCCAAATTAAGGCTCTGCAAGTTTGGATGTGGCCAAGTGTAAACGTTTGGACAGAAAACAAAAAAGATCCCTGCCTCCCCATCTTTTACTGTTACTTCCTCTCCACCCCAGTTCTCTTGCTTTTCGCCTTAATTTGGGGAAAAGTTTTTTTGAGAAATTTTGATTCTTGTACACGACTGTGATAGTTTTTAATGGCATCTAAGTCATTTTCTATGTAAAAAATTAATTGCTTGCTTTTTTGCTTGTGTCACTAGTACAAACTAGACTTTATTAAGCATGCATACAGCATATTATCATGCTATCAACACATACCTTCATTCCAAGTTGAGCTGCCTTAATTGATGCTACATATCCTCCTGGACCAGAACCAATCACCACAAGATCCACTTCACCTTAAAAGAATTAAAGAAGTGCAGGTGTTCAGAGGCCAGAAGCTTCTTAAAGAAATCTCCTCTCAACAATAAAATATTATTATGTGGTCATCAAAAAGAAAACTCAAATCTCTCAGTTTGCAGCCAAGTCAATTAAAAAAAGAATGAAAGTTCCCCCGCAAAAAGTCAACTACCAGGTAATATAGACCCAGGAAGAGGGGGGGGGGTACACCCTATAATGGCCTATACGGGGAGGCACCGCCCGAAAGGGGCACCTTTTTCAGGCTGCCGGTATATGAAAGGGTAGGAAGTATATGAAAGGGTAGGGGAATCTGTCATTTGGGTCTGTGAAAGGGCCCAAAGGGCTAACAGATGAATATTATGGCTTTATAAAGTCGGGAAAACATTCTGTTTTTTGATTGACTCCCATTTAAATGACAATGCATTTACAGCAGTTGAAAGGGATGCAAAGTTCTAAATGACGTAAAAAGGGCAAGAGGTTGGACCTCTGGGTGGAGCCTCCCCGTATAAAAATTTGTTGAGTACACCCCCCCCCCTGGGATTTGGACAGAAAAAAAAAACAGTCAAAACAATCATTTGGATTGTTCTCCTGTTATGCCCTTAGTTTGAGTGAAATATAACCCCTCCCCTCACTTAAAATAACCGGCACCCCCACTTCTTCCCTTTTAGAGTGATTAAAAAAAGCAATCATCAAAAAATATCATCTTATAAAATACGTGATCCAGTTTCCAAGAAAGAATCTAGAATACCCAGCTACTGGTCAGCTTCATTACTTCCTACTTTGACCATCTGCTGTCCCATTTTTGATGACTAAACAAGATGCCATTGAAGAATAAAGATGCAACTGCCACTATGGTCAACAGCACCGTCTTGGTGTGGACGGACAACAATGAGATGGAAGGGCTTGATTAGACTGCCACAAAGGCTGTAAATGTAGCCACCAAGTTGGTAGTAGTTACTTGAAAAAGCATGACACCCGGCCATGGACCAGGGTAGCAGCTAGCATTCCGAGGATCAGTTTAAAAAAAAAATTGTACAAATGTAATTTACAAGTGCAGCTGTTGTTTTAGAGTCTCATAAATTAACTACACTGGTAAATTACACTTGTAAAGGTTTCGTTAAATTGAACCCAGAAAAGTGCCTGAATATTCCAATATCTAGCCAGCAGACATTACGTAAGCTTAGTTGTAACAAGTCAAACTTGAATTAGCAACATACTATATAAACTTGAGGCATAACCATAGAGATCACATATAAGCTTAACTAACAGCAAGTTTACCTTCAGTTGCATAACTTCTAGTAATACTAGTTCCGACAACGGGGATATGTCTGGTCCATTTCAAAGCCTGTAAAATTAAAACGACCATGGAGCATTTCTAGTGCAAGCTTTAACATCTAGTATACTAGATAAGATGAAGAATGTATATTAGTAGGAAAACCTCCCTAATGTATTTTTCTGACCTCTGGAATCCTTGAAGATATGCCACAACTACGGCGCACAAATGGCAACATGTTTTTAAGAGAAAATTGACTAAGACGTTATCAAATCTTGCTCCTCTCCTCCAATCATATGTGGATGGTTCTCCGGGAAATGCAATATTTTTGCGAATACCCGCTAACGTCCTAATCGCGGGCTCGAATAAATAATTGCATGTACTTTAGGGTATTACCGCTGTTAGCGGGCGCAAGTAAAAACAGAAAAGAATCGCATCCACTTTTTGCAAGAATACATGGCTTTACATGGCTGTACATGGCATACCAATCCCGGAAGATTGCAGATAGAATCACAGGGAATCTAAATGCTCCTTTCATCGTCTCTGTTTGTCCTGTTTCCTCTTTTGTCAGCTTTTGCTGTCGTATGGACCTTCAGAATCTTCGAGCGTGCTAAAGTTGAACTTGGCTTCGAACATTATACCGAGAAAGCAGACCCTACCACTTTCCTCAAAATGCCAGCAAACGCTGGCATTAACTTCGGTTATACCGTACTTGGATTATATTGGCTTTGGAAAGTGCAGAAGCAGAAAACAAAGCTCAGAGATCAAGTATTTTTTTATTACATGTTTTCATGGATGTCTGTGTTCTACGGCTTTGTTCAGTTTGGAAGAATCGTGACACAAACTCGCTTGTTTGCAGTGATAGATCAATGGTTTACACTTCCCTTCTTTGCATGGATTGTGTGTTGGAATGAGTTTGTTTATCGAGGCTACTGGCAAACTGATCGCTATCTCTTTATTATGCGTATTTCTGTTTTAAGTTACTTCGCCGTGTTGTTTCATGATCTGGGTTTTGAAGCTGTCCTTGGTGTTCATATCTTAGCTGCTTTGTTATATTCTCTCCGAACCCAGTGTAAACCAGGCCTAGGAACCTCTAGATCGTGGATATCTTTTATCTTAGCCCTTACCGCTTGTGCTGGTTTTGTTTGCCTGAAACTGGCAGACATTTCTTAGCTAGTTTTTCTCTCTTCCAAACCTTCACTGGGCATTTTTGGTCTAAAGTTTGTGATGTTGCACAAATTCATTTTGCTGCGGATTTCTTCATCAATTTACAGACTTATAAAGTAAATAACAAACACAATTAAAAGGGTTTGACACCAGTATAAAGTGGTGGCTCACACTTTGGATTGGTAGGTCCAGCTTCATGCCTTACCATTGCATTGTCTCCTTAAGGTTGGGACACACTAGGTGACATGTTGCTGCAACACATTGGGGCAAGAAATCACTCCTTGTGTATGGGTCGGGTGACAAGCTGCACAACACATTCAGCAACAAATCCCTTTGTGTGTTTTGGGGAATTGTTGTGAAAACCTTTGTTTCTGCAACAGAGTTTTGTTGCTGCAACAAGTTCCACAAATTCAACCTGATTTGATTTTGTACGACTTGTTACGGCGACAAAATTCAGTCGCGAAGACAAAGATTTTCACAAAAATTCTCCAGTATACATGGGGTGATTTGTCACCACGATGTAATGCTGCAACATGTTGCCTAGAGTGTTCTGACCTTTACATGAGAAACTTGGCTCCACACTGTCTCATTACCCAGGCTCTGGTTGTTCAAATGTTGGAAAGCATTAACCACCGGGCCCACGGTTGTTCAAACATTGGATAGTGCTATTCAGTGAATAAACCTCTATCCAGCAGATACATATAATGGCATCAAACAAAAAGATTTACTTGCTAAAACACTGTCCAGGGGACAAGTATTAAGCAAACCAATACTGCATTAGCAACTGGATGGGGATTTATCCAGTGGATAGCACTATCCACCTTTTGAAGAACTGGGGCGAGATAAATCATTATCCAGCAGCTAAGCACTGGGGAAACCAATCATGTTATCCAGTGGATAGATACTTATCCACAACTCACATTAATGCTAATATTTGATTTTACAACTCATTATTGTAATGCCAGATGTTAGCAGCTTTGTCTGTTGGCCCCAGTTGTTTCATGCTACAGAAACCAGTTTCAGGCTCGGACAGAGTTCCGGGGGGTAGGGGGATGCTCAAAGAAATTTTATATGGGGAGGGTCGGCCCTGATGTCTGACCCCTTCCCCTGTTTTAAACCTTTTTTGACAGGAAAGGCACCCATTTGGTATACCTTTCATTGACAAATAGTACCTCTTTCACATACCTATATTTTAGAGTGTTGCATCCCTTTTAACTGCTGTAAATGCACTGTCTTTTAAATATGAATAAAACTTTTGTTCTCTTTTTCACAGCCATAAAATGCGCATGTAAGCCCTTTTAGGTCCTTTCACAGATTCAATGACAGATTTCCCTTTCCCTTCATGGTGAATGTCAATCAGAACTAGACAGAAAAATTACTGCACATTTCAAAAACATGTGGATTCTGAAGTTCATAACCCAACTGACATATGCATATTTTGCTGCCGTCAATCATCTCACCAAACCTCTTAGGAAAGAGAGGTTTACTTCAACAGGCTCAAAATGTCAGGGTTTGTGATTGGTGTATTTCGATCCATGTTGTGTGTTTCTCTGTTTCATTCTGTCAAGGTTTGTTACTTGTGATAGTACTTATGATTGACAGCAGTTAAAAATGCACTTACGAAGGTGGCTTTTGAACTTCAGAGTTCTCGTGTTTTTGAAAAGTGCCTCAAGTTTGTCTGATTTTATTTTTTAATGAAGAATTTTTAATGTCCTCATGTGTTAAAGAGTAATCTCAAACATGTTTAATATATACAATGGTCTGATACAATAATAATATTGTAAGTCTTGCTGTACATATCAAAGTGTGAAAGACCTGTGCTGTATACTTTCTATTATTAGAAAGGGTACATAACTTGAACAATCATACATTTTGGTGTAGAAGAAAAAACCTTTGTGATGGCATCTTGCTTGCAATGATTCTGATGCTGGAAGTTACTTTTTATGAACACCATGAATAATTTTACATTTTCTACTACAACCATTTTTGTATACTTTCTTATACATCTAATCTCAAAAACTCACTATTTTAACTGACATGATAAAAAATTAATTTTGAAAAACTAAAAGAAACACTCAATGTCTTGTATTTCATAGCACCTCTTTCATTTTCTAACAAAAATTCAAATATCAAATATTTAAAAGTGGGCGTTACATATTACATATAAATAAATGCAACAAATCACATTCTTTCACGACTTTTAAAGACTTGTCTCCCTATCTAACGAAGACACTGACAGTAGGGAAGTATCATCACTTGAAGACTTGAACTTTAATTCCAGCGTGGTATTTGAGTCCTTGAGAAGTTCTGTGACCTTGTCTGCAAACTTGTCTCTTACTCTGTTAAACTCCATAACACTCTCGGGCTCTTCACTGATCCAGAACGTACTGAACTCAAAAAATAGATAACCTAGAACAAGACAACATAGTAGGGTTATGACAGTTACTAAGAGCTTGTTTAGAGGTTAAATTGAAGGCTAGTCAAAGTCAAAAAAATACACAGTTATCTTTTAAAGTAGAAGGGTTCTCAAGGTTGAGTAGGATCTAGGAGGGGAAAGATGAAAAGTTAGTTTGAAAGTTGGTTTTTCCATTTCAATTGAGGGCGGTTACTAGCTGGGTTGGTTGAGTGCCTTAAAAAACTGAAAACAGTCACGGGTCCAGGCATTAAACCACATAGTTTTTTTTTTTTGCAGAATACCAGTTGTATTAGAAAACCGCAGGTCATCTCAGGGATGTGGGGGGGGGGGCGCACCCCCTGCACCCTCCCCCTAGATCCGCCCCTGGGTTCAGCCGCTTATTTTCCGCCTTCTTTCCCAAAACCCCTTNTAGTACACTAAACTACTTTTACCTTTATATGTGATCCTTGAGTGGTAACAATTTCAATTTCAGGGACAGAGCCGAGTAGTAACGTTGAAAACATAACATTGTACTTAAAAAGTTTATTAAAATGGTCAGATGTTTGGACCATAAACTTCATGATAACAATAAATTCGCTCCCAACACCAAAGGATAACCTGGCTGACAGTCTAAATAATTCCAACAAAATTTAAAATAAAAGAGTGAACATTATACTCACAATAAACCTGGTGAAAGTCAACCACAGTTGGCTGGCCTTGTCTGCAGTTGTAAAAGTGACTTCTAAGGATTCCTTCGTTCAAAAACTGAAGAGCCAATGATGTGATGTTGATGCCAGCAATGGCATAAGAAAACCTGTAAGAAAAAGATGATAAAATTTATTTCCATAGAGGGTGCACAGTTTTGACATTACTGTTCCTAGAAGCATTCAGGCTGAGCATCAAGGAATCTAGCAAATGGCTTAACTTGTCATCAGTCTCTCTGCACCACAGTGGCTGGGGCAGAAGACTTTATCTCAGGGTCATGGGTTCAAGTACAGCCCTCATTGTCCCATGCCAGCTCGTACAATTATGATAAATAACAAGAGTGCTATTAAAAGGGTTAAGTTGAGCTTGTTTGGAGATTAGATAAGAAATGAGGAGGCGATTGTTCTCAATGAAACTGGATTTCTACGCTAAGAGTTTTTCATTTCCGACATTATCTATGGTCGAGTATTCTTCAGGATATTTACTTTTTATATCATATTCAACAATTTGCTTCTGAATTGATTGAGTATGCAAGTATAAATACACAAAAATCAAGGGCCTTGATTTGGGAGAAATTACATCATTGCCAAACAGAAAAAACATGATGAACAGGGCATGTTATTTCAGTCATCACCGACTCACCAGACTCATTTGCGTACAATGAAAGTTTACAAAACCTGTGTGACTTTCAAAAGCATCTGAGGTCTCCCAGCAGGAGTCTGACGTCCTATATGACTTTTTCACGGCTGTCACTAAGATTTCAAGTTGCCGAGTGCATGCAATAGGAATCAAAAGGAAAATAGAACCAGAAGTAGTACCTCCAAGCTGTTTAATTCCAATTCCTGCCTACTAATCATTAGTTGGCATGGACTGGAATTAAACAGCTTGGAGGTACTTCTGGCTCTAAATTTCCTTTTGTTTTCCTACAAAAGTAGCCAACGAACATACTTTTAGTGGCTGGGGTGTGAATCTCCAGCCCCCAGCCCTGAAACCTTTAAGCCCGAAAATCAACATGCATCTTCTCGATCCACACTGTTCTTCATACATTCCTTATGGTAATGCTTGAGAGAATTTGTTCTAACATCAACACATTCCATCCTTGGTGATCATTTCATTCTCATGACCTGTCTGTTTGATCAGGCAGTGTTATTGTTGGGAGAAATTGGATGTGGATCACCATTAGGGCTTAAAGGGTTAATGGCAACACTGGCTTAATCTGCTTCCTAGCCCAGATGCTCTACTTGTGATCTACGGGAGACTTGTGAGAGCTGAGACCATTATAACTAAGTTCATGTGGCACCCACACTTACAATCATACTAAACAATGTGATGGTGAGTTTCAGGCCTGGTTAATATATGAGAATGATTTTTTTAGTCGGTGGCAGATGACAAAGAGTTTTTTTAACCACACCTAAGCCGGTGTTTGAACCTCAAAATTATTTGAAGTACGTAAAACATTAGTTACGTGGAGGCAGGCTAAGCGCATGAATTCTCCATGATGGATTTTCCAAGAACAACACACGTTATGTTTACTTACAAACAATCTAAAGTACAACATTAGATGTGCAAGTTAGCCTACCAGAAATGTGGGTGATGAGAGTGTGCCAAAACTTTTCTTGCTGCATCTGTGTGTTTTGATGCAAAAAATCTACAGGCAAAATAATTTCAGTAAATCAATATACACAATGAATTTATTGTTACTAATATAACTTTTATGATAAAAAAATAAATAAATACACATGTACATACTTACAATAAGTTATCAAGTGCAAGAACACCTGGAACATGGAAAAAAAAAAAGAAAAGTCAGGAATCATAACTATCTCATTTTATTATAAAGAGGTGCGTAAAAAATAGTCTACTGTATGTGGAAACACCTAAGATGACCCTTTTTGTATACTCGAAACAACACTATATTTGTACAAATGACTGCCATACACTGAGCTGCTACACTTGCATCAAAGTATTACCTAACAAATCTTGTCCTTTCAGAAAGTCGCCTGATATTAATATTTAACAGCTGTATACTTAATGCCTTAAAAAAGGTAACAGACATTGCATCATTACTGATTAAGTTTGTGATGAAAACACTCTAGCCCAACAGATTCTGTCATTCTTATGAAGATAAAGTAAGCATCAAGCTATCTGACAGCAGTTTCGAATGATATCTCCTACAGAACATTATTATTGAAATGACTTCTTGACTTCCACTAGGTTAACTATTGAGTATTTTCTTACCCATTCCTCTAAAGTCAGTTTGGGGATCTGTTCCTTGAAAGCCAATATCTCCCCACTGCTTGCAAACTCTTTCTTTAAGTGGAGTGTGTGGCATCATCAGGTTCCAAAGCTTAAGATGCAAGGAGTAAATTCAGCATAAGTTGTCCGTGGTTGATTTGCTTAATGTAGTAGACTATTTCCAAGTTCCAAAAACTCTCATTTTCAAAACAAGGGCAAGCGCTCAACCTTTCTTGTGTAAATGAGTTTTATTATTTTTACCGGGAGTGGGGGGTACTCCTGGGAATTTTTGGCGGGGTGTGCCGCCCGGTTCTTCAAATCCTAACCCGATTTCAGACCAAAAAATGTAATTTTCCACACCCGTTTTCAGACATGGCCTTTAGGCAGAAATTGTTGTTATCATTACTTAAATTAGAGCGCAAACAAAAAAAATTATTCCAATACATTTCGAATTCACATATTTTTCTTTCTTTCTTACTCATTTGGAATTGAAACGATAAATACGTTCATACACTCGGTAGTTCCCTTGAAAACCATACCCGACTCCAGACCAAAATGGGCAAAGTGTGTACCCATTTTCAGACCCTACCCGATGGGGCGGCACACGCTTATATGGCTTATTCATGGGAGTAACCTCCCCGGGTAATTACATGAGAATAAAAAATAATTTTCTCTTCAAAGGCTCTGCACTAAGCCTAATTTTGGAACAGACGCTTGGGCAGCTCAGAAATGGCCAGTTATCATCTGTGGTATAACAGAGGAAACTCTAGGAGATTGGAACTAGTAAATTAGCTTGACATCACGTGCATAAAGAACAAAATATTACATGTAAAAGCTTTTGTCGGCAGAAAGCTAGAGGAAACATTATAAACTAAGATACCAATACCAAGAACTATACCAGGAACTTAAAACTAAGATACTAAATAAATTAAGAGACACAAAGCATATACCTGCATTAATCGTTTCTCGTGAGAGGCATTTTCCGATGAATATGCTTCCTTTCTTAGCTGTTCAACCTCATGACAAAGATCATTATAGCAACATATCTGACTCAAACAAATGAACATGGAATCTACAAATCTGGAAAATTAATTCACAAATGAAAATTTGTAATCTTCGACACTGATATTGATTAATTATTAATCAAAAGAAGTGGGAAACTGTAAAGTACCATGCTAGCTGGAAGAAACACGTCTCTGCCACTGTCCTTGTGGGGCTATGTACGTATCTACATACATGTCTATAAAGTGTATGGGTGTATTTATTTATGCACACTATACTCTGATGCACTTGTAAATAACATGTGATAATAACATAAACCTTATAACAGTAATATTTTAATACTTACACACTTTCTTGTGCTCTGTCGATTTTCTTCAATGTGATGATCAAAGTAAGAGCTTCTTGGATGTTTACATTAGTTTTTTCAACTAGGTCATTAAGTTCCTGTAACGATATTAATTTTAATTTACAAATATTTTCAGTAACATCGATCACAATACATTATAGCTGAAAACTGAAACTGTAGCTGGACAAAAATATTTAACATACAGACGCATACGTAGATAATGTACCATGTTATTAAATTTCTAACAAAACTTTCCTGTGCTTCAAAATTATGAATGCAGCAGCACCTTAAGCAAGTAATAGGAGACATGAGGTATTTTTCTTTCAGCAAAGCAGCTTGGTGATAATTATTTTATTAGCTAGGGGTGCTTTCCAGTTGTCATCTGGAACTGACCATGCAGACTATTCCCATAGTAATGAGAATTTTAAAAGAAGATATCCAGCCAGATCAGTCACATCTTACATAGTGTGCACGGATGAGATGGTTATTCCACAAAAACTCTTGGAAAAAACCTATTTCATTGTCAAAATGGCTGGTCCAGCCATGAACCGGCTAGCCAGTCCTGACTTTTGGAAAGTGCCCTAAGATTTTGTGGCTCTATGTTATGTTCAGCGCCTTGATTTAAATAAATATATACTCAACTAACCTTTGCTCTGGATTGCCTCAAGGACTGTTCTGGTGAGCAAAAAATATCACAGAATTATGAAGAGTGTTTGATACATGTATCTCTTTTCAAGCAAAATATAACTGCCAATATCAAACCCTTTTAAATTTTGTATTTCTGAGGAGTTATCACCTCACACAATAATACAAACCAAAAGAATATTAAAAACTATATATTACTGACAAGAAACACAATTCTAGCAGTCTGTTCAACAAAGAAATGAAATCAAAATTTTATACTTTGTTAAGCTTACCAACTTTGCATGTCCTCTGTGCCCCATGTCTAGTTTTATAACAGATCCTCTGTAACTCACATTGTCCCGTGGATAAATGGAGAAGTAACTTGACAAGTCGCCGATACCAGAAGTAAAGGGAAAGGTACTTCCACATATCTGCCATAATTATCACTTCATCTGCTAGGTCCTACAGTGTTAAAAAAATGCAAAACAGTAAATAAAAAGCACTAGGAAAAGGATAAAAATTTGGCTTGTCTAAGAAGCCTGTCTAGTTAGCTTCAAGATCAGAGAAGATTAAATAATAACCAGTTGAAGTCACATTTCCTTTCATCGAAATGCCTATATGTTAAGAGTAAGAAATAAAACCATTTTGCCCCTGAATAGGAATGCTGGTTTTTCGATAACCAGGGCAGCTAATATAGGTATATGTAGAAAAATATCTGATTTTCTCAAAAAATTTGATGACAGAACTTTCCATTAAATTGAGGCATATCTCAACTGACTCTGAAGGGTACATGTAGATCCCAAATATTTTATGAATAGTTATATATCACAGGTTGTAATATAGTACTACAGTATCTAAAACTATAGTTGTCAGGGATATCAATGAAAAATGCCTCTATGCCACTGGGTAATACTTTGGCTGAATCTCTAGCCATGATAATGTTTACGGACACCCTTGACATTCAGCAAAACATTTCAAAAAATATATAGAGCAAAATCTTTGACTTTTGAACTGTTGGTTTCTTAATGAACCTCCAGATTAACTGACATCCTTTACCCAGTCAAAGACAGTAGGTAATTAACCCCTGATTTTTCAAACCTCTCTATAATGATATGATTTACGCCAATTGACTTCTTATACCCATCAGGTTTAAAACGAGTGGCATTCTCCTCCTACCGAGAGCTGCACGGTCATCTTCTAACCTAACGATGCCATTTTTAATGAATGCAATAAGAATTTTTTTCTGACAGTGACATTTCAAAATGTATCCACTACAGGTATATATGTTTGCAAAAGATGAATTTCATTACAGATCTATATAATAGCCTGAAGGTATTTTGTAAACCACTCTCCTGTTTGTGATTTTAAAAACTAAAATATTTATCACTGCAATAATTATTACTTAAGTTAGTGACTGTATGAATATTAAAGTCAGGCAGCTTGCATTTCGTCTGAGATCACAAAACAACCTGCGCAAAAAGCTTTGACTTGAAAATGTCCACCTCAGCTTTTAACAAACCATGCAGATAACGGCTTAATTTCCCTTCCAAAAACCTTTGAACAGAGTCAAACGATTAAAATAAAAGAATGCTTAATCATACCATGATACCGCTGAGAAAATAACGTTGGACGCCTTGACAACGCGCTTGATAAGAACACAAATGATGACTGGCTAGCTAGCAGTGGTCCACGGTTAAGCTAACTTTCATAATGGGGAAATTCTCTTTAACACCTCCTTGATGCTGACGAGTTTTCGGAAATGGTGTACTAAAACATGCAAGGCTCGTCCTGATACAAATATGTAAGCACGCAAACATCCACACCTTTATCGGAAAACCTCGGATCAATCAGACGCCTCTGGGATGATTGATAACATCTAGTTTATAAGCTTAGGTGCAGCCCAGACAAAGCAACAGAATCGCTGTTAAAAAACCTTACCGGACACTTAACACTATTTCTAGTCAATCAATAAAACAGCTATAAGTTTAAGCATAAAACACACTTCGTAAACATCCATGCTTCTTGGAACAGGTCATCGTTGCTGATGGTCATGAGGTCAGACTGATACGGTTTTGCTAACCCTCTGACTAGATTGTGCCGGCCGGAAAAGGTTTGGCCGTAGGTCGTTTAGTAAGGGATTATCACCATAAATATAAACAGATTTTTTGAAAAAAATAACTATTTTTACCTCCTATGACGTAAATTATTTCCTGACCGCTAATTAAAACGAACCAAGCCCACCAAAACAACTTCGTCCAGCTGAATCGAGCCTTCTCCGTAGAACCAAGAAATAAGAGTCACTTCCTGCATTCTTATCATGAAGTAAACAATGCATTGTCTGCTGACCAGTATCCTCGACGTCAAGAGCGGGGACTTACTCTCAGGGGAAGGGTCCGTCGCTACTAATGAAAGATTTCTTTTAATCAAGCAGCCTTGACGGACCAATTTCAGCAAAATGCATGGAAAAGCTATCCTTTTAAACTTGAGCCTACACTTTGCCCCCGCTAAGTCATGCTTGGTCTTTCCACAACTCTCACTGGACCCACCCTTCCCCACTACCACCTTCCCTCAGGTTCACGTAAAAGTCAGGCGGGGGTGTAGTGCTTTTCAGAGAGGGAGCCTCCAAAGGGACACTTATTAAGTGAAACACATAAATGCCTGACAAATCAGCCCCAAAATAATTCACTAACCATAAATTCCCACCAATTTTCCCCATGATCTAAACCTGAAGGAAACGTAGCATACCGCGGTTTTCTCTATATAATTTTTTTTTCAGCTGAAAGATTCCCGAAAGATTCCGTAATGGTGCTACGTAACCCCATTTGAAACTTAAAACCGCACTGACCCAAAACGTCCAAGAACCCAAGGATCCTGTTATCCCGTCAATGGAAGCTGCCTTCCTGGAGAGCTCTCTTTAGTGTGGAACTGTGAAGTCTTGCAAGGACCCCTTGGAAAAACAACAGCGAAGAGAACAGGATTTTGGTATGGCAGGATCAGCAATATATATAGAGTAAAATTTAATTACCCATCCAAAGAGCTTTCGGTTACCAAACCATAGGATTTCACCCGTCCTCAGTATTTAAAGTTAGAAATAGATTAATAGGATTAACAGTAGCCATTCAGGTTTTCAGTTTTGTATGGGAAAGTCCTCTTAATCCTGTCTGGTCCTCAGTGTGGTCCTGTCGTTAAAAACAAATACAAATCATTATCACGGTTCTGAAAATGTTCTCAAAGCCTTTGAAGATCTTATCTTTGCCACAAGTTTCTTCAGTAAAGTAGCAGTAGTATCCCTTGATACACTGTCTTACTTTATGATCTTCTTAGGCCGGCTTAGATTATCCTGACGTTGCAACTGTGTGACTGGTCACATAACGAAGACGGCCGATCTGTGCACAAGGTATGCATTGCGTTGACTGTGGTGATTAACTTGTTTAATAGAATCAAAGAACAAAGTAGACAGGTCTTTTCTTACGAAGAAAAAGTAGGTGGAAAGTTTGGCGGATCATCAGTTTTGGCCAGAAAAGTTTCGGATTTAGGGATTATTTTTAAGGATTTGAGCAAAGTGCAGTGGATTACGGAATAATGTCCTCACCCTGTCCACCATAAGCAGTACATAATGCGAAATTCTTCGCCGCTTCTCTGTGGGGGGTTATCTTTAGTAAAAAAAAAAAGAATGCCGCACTTTTAAATTAAGATTAAGGACTTGACAAATTCCTTGTTAAAGCCCAAAAAAATGCATGCTTGTGTTAACTTCCTGTCACCAGAAATAGAAATTCTTCGGCTCTGGGATAGTTCAAAATATTTTCGTTTTGGCAACCAGCATATATAGTCTCGCAGGGGCGCGCACGCTGTTATATATAGGAGCTCAGACCATAACAATTAGTAGTGAGGTCGTAATGTATGGGCCAATCAGAAGTGGAGTTACCTACGGCCAGCGAGTCTTCGTTTTATGCGTTAACAAATAAAGAATTCCCGCAACGTACTCCTTCATCATGGATTGTCATTGAACGTTGGAGATACTAAGCGAAGTTGACGTCATAGAGAACATGTTAGCTGGTTTGACTGTACAAAAAAGAAGACTAACCGCAAAAATGTTTCCTCGCAACTCTCAAAATCTCCTCAAAATTTTACATGCAATTGAACGTTTTAGGAAAGTGAAAACTGCATGTTCTTATTTTTCTCTCCATCACATTTTTGAATCCGAGAAGTTTAGGTTTCCTTTTTCTACGAAAATTAGCCTAACATGAGGAGTAAAATGTGAGTAATTAAACCTCAGAAAATCGTAGGGAATTATTAGATAAGCTTCGAAAATTGTACCCGAATCTGGGAAGCAAGCAATAGAAAATTACAGGCGATTTGTACTTCTCTGAATAGATGATTCACAGAAAACAGTCTTTGGGTGCCCCTGATTATGTGGGTCTCATCATAAACGGACTCGTACCCAGCCCTACTCGTTTTGAAACTAGGCAATAGAAATACAACGCTGGAATTTGCTTCCAATCCTTGCTTCTAAAATTGAATAGAAATACACACTCAAAATTCACTAAGGAGTTGGTTTTGGTCAGATTTTGGTAGCGTCGGTGATGTCGAAGGTTGGTCGAATCTCAGTTCAAAAGTTTGGTTACAGTGCACTGATTTACTTCTTCGAGTAAGCAAACTTTCAGTGTAATAGTTGCCGTACCTTAATTGATTGTTTACGCAAAGGAAGTTTGAGGTGAGATAAAGTGCTGTCTCCCGCTTCCTTCCCTTACCCTAACACCTCCTCCCTTATTCATAAACAAGTCTTTTTTAACTTGAGCGACTGAATTCAATGCGCGGAGCAACGCAGAAAATCTGCACGAGCATCATACCTTCTTGGTTCTTTCATGTGCTTATCGTCACTTTAACTTTGGCGCGGTCTGTAAGAATTCAAAGCTGTTAAAATATGCCTATATTTGACAACTTGAGCGAGTTGTAATGGCGATTATACTCCCTTGCGGCAAGAAAGAATAACCTTAGCTGAACTAACTTAGACCGCGTGCGGTCCTTAGAGCCACACCCTCAAGCGTGCTATCAATCTACTGTGACTCAAAGGAAAAACAACAGACTGCTCTAACACTAATTTGCCACTTTGCTGCTGTCGCTGCGGTCGCCACGGTTGCTTTGAAAGCTTACGAACGTGTGAGATTTATCACCGTGCTCCACCATCATAAAAAATCGCCGAAAAATAATTAATCGCATACTATTTCAAGGGAAATTCAAGGGGAGTCATAAACTCAATCCGTGGAGGGAAATGCATGACAGAAGAAAACCACACCTAAGTAACTCTGGAGTACTTGCAGTTAAATCAGAGCCTGACTTGATATTAACTTCAAAATCATTTTGTTTGAGCTAGATGTTATGTCAAACACTGGACAAATTATTTTGTCACAATCTTAGACATTCTCTTCTTGTGTTCGATGCGTGTTTCCACACGATAGGTAGCGGTTATTACGGAAAAGGTAAAAAAAGGTTAAAACGCACACGAGGAATGGGGGTCAGTTTGGAGGGTGACCTGTTGCAGCTGTAAAGGGAAGACGACGGCATAATCTATAACAAACTGGAACGCTCAGAAGCACCCCTTTTTGATGCATGTTGAGGACAACAACCCTAAGTAACGAAAAAAAGACGACTGGAGATCCTCAGAGCTGAGATCCTTTATATCTAGATTTGAACATAACCGTTTCCTTCCAGTTGCCAATGTCAGGAGTGGAAACAGATTTGCATTGTGCCACTGAAATTTCATATAACGAAGGTCACGCAGCTGTATGCCAACTTCTTTCTCATCTGCGCTTACGGATAAATGGTGAAATGCTAACGTTAAAAACAAAACGCCGAGCAAAGATGTAACCAGAAGAAGTTTTATTTGTTCTGAATACAATGTTTAAAGCCTGAATTAAACCGCGGCTGCCTAGCTCAATCAGTAGAGCGTTTGCATGACTTTAGAGCCTGGAGGTCGTGGGTTTTAAATCCTGGAATCGGACCAATACTGAGAAATGAAGATACTGCCTTTGCCCTGCAAAAGGCTAGACTTTCACTTGGCTCGGATGACGTCGTCGTATATAATGGCGCTCTTCCCGTCTCCGTTAGGAGAAGTAAAAGTGGTGTCTTCAGCTAGTCAGTACTTTTGTGCCGACATACTATTACAGGAGCCTACCACTGACAATCAATTAAAGTGCTTTGCATTTTTTTAAATCCCCTTTTGCTTCTCCGATACCGTGTTAGGCAAAGCATCACATCTTTCTTTGAACAATTTTTTGTAATTTTATCAACTCAAAACCGATGCAACGATGCACGATTCTACGATCATTGCAATAGTGAAAAAGTACTACAATTCAGAAATGATTAAAAGGTGAGCAGCTGCAAAAAAATGAGAAGAATCAAAATAAGGAGAGACACGCGCGGGGGCACGAAATACATTAGTGCTTCTGGTTGACCCGAAGAAATGCAATAATTTCATGACACTGAGGAACAGAACCTATTTGCTATTGTAGCGAGAATAGTTGCACATCTGAGTAAGCCTATTATTTTATTTAGTACCACAACACATTTTGAATCCCGAAACCTTTTTACAGGTGAAGCAAAATTACACCGGCTGACCATGATAAACGGCTGTGGCCGGGTGAGCTGATTTTTTTTGACGAGAACTTGTGATTAGTGGGTTAATAAGAACTGATATAATGCTTATTGTCTTATTATATTTTGGAGCAGCTGTACGTTTATGCGAAGCCAGCTGAAAATTACTGGCTGAGTAACATCAACGGGAACTGAACGCTGAGCATCTTATTTTATCCGAGAGAAATTTTTAATAGACCTACAACCCTGGACAAAATAGTTGGAATGCTTCAAACAAAAAACGTGAAGTCCAAAGACTACTGCAAAGCCAAGAGATCATTCTCTCTTGGCAAAGCTGATCATAACAACATATATTGCTTTTTCATTACAATATTTCGGCTGGCCGTACCCATATGGCCTTCTTCAGGTTTACAGATGTGTATTACATCTGTAAACCTGAAGTAGGCTGGTATGGCGAGCCGGAATACTGTTATGAAAAAGCAATATACGTTGTTATGATCAGCTTTCCAGTAGTCTTTGGACTTCTCTTTTTTGGGTTCTTAATATTTTAGCTGATTAAATCTCAATTCTTATAGAGATCCAACGTTGACAACCAGCAGGATCTTCGTCCACGGTTTTTTGAGCTAGCCAGGTGATTCCCTGTTATAGCAGAGGCCTCAGTTTCCCCTGGTATTCGGCGGGCAGGACAACTTCATAAGACAGCAAGAACAACATGGTTATAATACCAGAACTAAGCTAAATTTCAGACTTCCAAGTGTCAAAAGGAATTGGGGCAAACAACGGACTGCATTTTATGCCATCAAGGATTTTATAACGCCCTTAGCTAGGCAATCAGACAATTCGAGAATCTTAACATTTTTAAACATAATCTTTTTGAATTTGTACTTTAAATGAATTTGAGTTAATATCTTCTACATTTTAATAGTTTTTATGTATTTTAGCTTTTTAACGTCTTGGCGAATTATGCGTATTTTGTATTTTTTTTTAATTTTATGAGATCTTTTTTGTAAGCCATATTTTATATGAAAAAGTTATCTCAATAAAGTTTATTATCGTTATCACCATTATTTTTATTATTACTTTTATTATTATTAAAGAGACCTCCTGCCGCCGAATACCAGGTGATAGCATAAAGAGACAGCCCAACCATGAAACATGACAAACTAACCGAAGAGGGACCTGCTGACTACACTTGCCAAAGGTTTTTACAACTTTGGAGCTTTTCTTCAAAATGCAGACATTAATTAAGGATAAAAAAACTGGTTCTCAAAAAGGGCTTGAGTATTAAATTGGGCGGCAAGCCCTTCTAAATTTTTATGTGAAAAACCGTTTATTAAGGCGTCTGAGACGCTTTCTCTAAAAGAAAAAGTCTCAACTGTAAAAAAATATAACCAGTATATGATTTTTCTTCCAAAACGATAGTTCATATCCCATTGTTCCGCGATTATATCTTAGATTGATTTTTTCTTGCTGACTATTTTTAACCCTTCAATCAAAAAGATAAAATCCGTCTCAGCTGTTTAAACGTTGCAAACGTTACGTGGCGGCAAATAAACGTTAAACCTAGAACGAAAACTACGAACCATTTTGTAATTGCTAAAGGGTGACGCTCACCCGTGGTCCTGCGTAGTGATTACATTTATATCACGTTCGAAAGTTTCGATCGCATGGCGAGTTTTTGTCCTTTGGGTCATTTATAAATAAACTTCCTTTGTTCAATTTTGCAGGAGTCAGTGATTAATTTCAATTTCTATAAAACAGGATTGAGCCTGTTGTTCAAATCTCACAAATCAATATTTTCTCGATGAATTTTTGAGACAAAGAAAAACATTCGCATTACACGTTAAAGATAGCGAGAAAGTGTGGCGATTGTTGAAACACTTCCTCTTGGATACTTAATGAGAATAGTTGCCTCCGAAAAAATTCAGGTGTCAGGGCAGTGTTGAAACGAACACACTAGTTTCCGTGGCTTTGTAATTTCTTGTGCGTGACTTTTGATTGACTTTTGATAGGTTTTGATGCTTACACAAACTTGGACAAGCCAACATGACTTCCGGTGAACGAATATAAATAAGTGGCAACGTACGAAATGCCGTCTTTTGGACTGCTGTATTTGATGAAGAGCTAAGCAAAGAAATGATACAACCCCAGGGGATCAAAACTGTTCAATGAAAACTTTCCACGTACTATTAATGACTTCGTAGGTCGTGAATTATTTATGCTAATATATTACAAAGTGATCACGTGCTCTCGCGAGCACCTGTGCTCCAAAATCCCATGAGGCCAATTTGCGCAAGTTTAGTTTGTGTATGAGAATTCCACCTAAAAGCTATAGGCCTTCGAACCGCAGGCATGGCCGCCGCACTTGGAGTGATTTTATTTACCTACATTAGCTTAGTCTTTCTAGTTACCCATAGGATATGTATGATGCAGTGTAATCCGATGTCCAGACCTGGTAAGAGTCGTTAAAGTAAAAGAAAAGAGGCAGTGTTGTTGTTGGTTGCGCGCGATTGTTCTCCCGGATCGATCGTGGCAACGGCTGGATCGGAGAACTTTATAACTCGTTTATATTTAGAGTCTGTGGTTTAAAACTCTAATGTGTTAAACTTCAACATTTGTAGGAGTATACCAGGGAGATATGGGCGATATGCGGTTCTCTGGAAGCCACGTACAGGTAAACGTTTGCTGTCAAACTTCCTGAAATGTGGGTTGCGTTAGGTTTTTAACTTAACTTGTTATGTTTTGCAATGCAAATACAGAAGTTGGAACTGTGGCGTTATAACTTTTGCTAGGTCTACTCACCGCCTTACTTTACTCAACCGGAAGCCAAGTCAACTCTTTGCTTGCATCTTCACGTTATTTGAGTTTGTTAATTGTCGACAAACTACAGGTTACTCCAAGTTGTATTTTATGACGGTGCATGTCTATTTGAACACTGTCAAACTGTAGTTATGCTTTCGTCTAATAACCCGGAATTATTTTGTTATCTTCCTAGGCCGATGGCTCACATCATAACAGAAGGTACAGAAAAGTAGAAAAATATGTTTTATAGTCAGCAAGAAAACAAAGGAACGATAAATTTCTACTAATAGGGTGGATAGGTCTAGGAACCAACACCCCCACTCTCGTGTTAAAACTGTCTAGTCGCCCACGTAACACGAGGCTTTCTTGCTGCAGTTGTTTTTAGGGTCAGTTTGCTTATTGTTCAAGTGTTTAAGTAAGCAGTGAGTGTGTTTACTGGTTTCATTAAATCCCTAGTCTTTACTTAATTCCTTTCTGGGAAACTTGTCTCTTGCCTCAAATGACACGCTCTTGATTCTACGTGACAATATTTTATTACGGTCATATTAAAACCGTACGTTCGTATATTAACCGTGTCATCGCCGTATAATTCTGCGCTTAGCTTCAATTTAGTCCGTTTGAACCGCTATAATGTAAGTCTTATTGTAAGATACTGTAGACTTTTTCTGATTTTGCTTGCGTGTTTCTCGAGAAAAGCGAAATGTGAATGGACTTTAGATCGATCTCTTTCTGTTTAATAATTTTTGGGTGACTAGTTTGTTATTAAGCTTATCATGTGTTGTATCTTCCGTTGGTCTGCTGTAGTAATGTACTGGTATTCTTTTATTGTATCTCTTATTCCTAATTTTAACGTTTAATTTTACCAGCGTAAATTTCATAGATGACAGTTTTAAATCTTTTAAGGTGACAGGAAATGTAATGCTAATCAACAGAAATAGTGATTGATCAATACTTTTTACAATTTCGTGAATTGACAGTGAAATTCTCGTGCTAGTATTTGACCCGATCGATCTGACTCTTGAACCTTTTAAATATTTTCTAAGGGAGTTTTGGTTTTTTAATGTTTTCATAGTTCAAACGATGATAATCTAAACACTCCGGATAGTAAGCAATAATAATTATTGCTACCTTATTATGGAATCTTATTATGTTTTGACTGGAAAAGTTATGTATATTTTTCGGTTTCTTCTTTTCAGAGGGCAGCCCAATATTAGACATATTCGGTTTGAGCCATCATATTTAGATTTCTACGAACAGTAAGTTGTAAATTAATGCATTTTTTTCTCTTTAGGGTATTGTATTTAAAAACGCAGGTTGTACAAGATTATGTTGTACAACTTTTAATTTGTCATCTGATCAGTTTTGGTCACTGGTATATCCTGTGATATCTTTTGGTTATCACATGTTTGGAGGACTAAAACATTTAATAAAAATACTGTGAGATAGATTTAACAGTGCTTCTAGTAACGATATTACAATTATTAGACTTTGGACTTTGGAAGAGTTTCCATGTTCAAGTGAGAATAAAACTAAAGTGCATTTTAAGTACTTTCATTAAATCAGTGAGTTCCAGTAACTAGTGAGTCATTGTGTTAGGCTAGGGATGATTAACAATAAAAAAACTCACTGACTTTATATATTTAAGTAATGCAAGAGTGAAAGTTGCACACATTTGCATAGCTGGTAGCTGTGAGCAGTAACGATAAATCTAAAAAAACCCGGCTACACTTGTTCACATGATGTACTTGATGTAAACTTGATGCAAAATTCAGTGACCTGGAAATGAGAGGCAGTTTATTGTAATATCTTATCCCTCTTAGTGGATTGTGTTCTTTGTGTGCATGCTCTGATTGACAAAAAAATATTTGGACTTGCTTGGTAACATAATATTGGCTCATCACATCTGGGCCTTGTTTTTTAATTTAGATTTTCACATAATTTGTCAGTAAAGATTGGCATGTGCCCAAATAGTTATATCAAATTTGTTGTGTGTGTAACTGGTGTGAAGGGAATTGATAAGCCTGAATGCTCTTTTGGTTCTTTATTTTCCTTCTTTGAAAGTAGCCAGGAATCCCCCCCCCCCTGCTCCCTGCCCATAATGCATCAGTCATTTGAAACCCCGGCCCCCAACCCCAGGGGCATAGCAGGAAATAGCAGGGATATAACACGGCCAAGGCCAGGATTAACACACTTTTAACAACATGTCAGCCCTGGGGGCATTGGAATTAATACCTGTTTTACTCAGGTCATGAGCGGGGATTTAATGGCACATACACATTTTCAGAAGCGGGGACAGAAGCAGGGAGTTAACAGGGGCCTCCAGGGGCTTATTTTCCGAGGGGGGATTTAATGGAGGGTTTTTTGCATTATGAGTTTGGGGTGCTTATATTTGGAGGGGCTTCTACATGGAGGGGCTTATTTTCGGAAATTTATGGTATTTTCGGAGTTGGAAAACAAATCCAGCTAGTAGTCAGGGCGGGACTTGACCCTTCTGATTGCAAGTCCAGCACTCTGCTTGGCCATGCTACCTCACAGAGAGGTACATAAATGTCTTCTAATCAGTATTTGTACAAATTATTCTTTAAGGTCTGTGGGTATGCCAAGCATACGAACAGTAGCTATTATAAACCCACATACAGAGCAGACTCTACAGCTGCAATCTCTATCTGGGAGTACTGTACATTTCCATGCTTCCTTTTTTCAATCAAAAGTAAGTGGTGATGCTGATACTAAGTTCTTGTACGTAGGACCAAAACAGCGAGTGAAATGTGTGAGTGCAGAAAATTTATTCAGTGATTGAAAGAATGAGGCATATAACAAAATAATGCACTGATTTTTACTGAAATACAATGGGCATGAGGATATTTTCTGCAATCCTGTACCTGTCCAGTGAATTGGTAGAAAAATGGCCTCTGAAAACAGCTGTTTCTCCTTGCTCTTTGCCGCTGGGGAGGTTCGCACGGAGGAACATCTGCGACTCAGTGGCAGAAATTCCATACTGATGACAGAAATCAATGTTTACATAATAAATGCGGTAGTCATGGGGTTCCCATTGCAAATTTGTTCAATTTTACTTTTCTCCTGACGGATTTTGGTAAAGTGTTGTGTTCATCTGTGAACAAGCTCCAGCAAAAATAAATGCTTCTTCTAGAGAAGATTATATATCCTCAAATTTTGACTGTTTTGTTAGAGATTCATCACATTTCCATTTGACCTTTGTAGACTTTTGTCTTTTGTCTGGCACTCATAAACAATAGGAAAACAATGTAACTACTCTGTCAACCAATCAGTGCTTATGACCGGATTCTGGACAGATTGTAACGCCATCAGTACAGAATTTCTGTTGCTGAGTCGCAGAAGTTCCTCCCCGCAAAAAGTCCCCTGTTTTCGCAGGCTAGTAGAAGAGGTAACCAGGGATGTTACTAATTTTTTAAGTTGCCGGATAGACACAACAAGTAGGCGGGGAATCAATGAGCTAGGGATTTGCTTTGGTTCTATTTTTCTTCTGTGTTCCTATGAAAGTAGCCAGGGGCCACATTCATAGTAGCCAGGGGAAATCCCCAGCCCCTGGCCCTTAATTACAGCCCTGGGTAACTTGTTTGCTTTGTGGTCTGATTTAAACAGCCTTTTTTTAAATCAAACTACAGTCAGCTCTCTTTTAATGGACACCTCACTAAGACAGACACTCAGAGTTGTTCCTGCCTTTCTGTATTCCTTTAAGTCGACTCTCTATGAGATGGACTCATTGTTCTTGTCCCAAAGGTGTCTGTCTTGAAGGGAGTTGACTGTATTCATACTTTGAAGCACGATTGCCATGATGCTTCAGTGATTTTGTTACCTCTGTGTCCTGCGTCCCTGATGCATAAAAAGCACCAAAGACGCAAAATAATTCATTGCATGCGTCCCGTGGGATGCAAAGATTGATTGATCTGAAGATGTTTTTGTAGAATATCCTGTTCGTGTGATTTCTGTGGCTGTTCTTGTGGCTGTTGTTTAATGAGGTATATTTCTTTTAGTCTCTGTTGCGCTTTATGGCAGGAGTTTTTTATATCAGTAAACTGTAATACAGAGTTTTGAAGTCTGTCTTCAGATTAATTGTCTGCATGGTTACATAAAGGCCCCCGAAAAATTCAGTTTAAGAGTCATTGTTTCTTGATCTGGGACTCACCATAACTATTTGTAACAAAATCACTGATGCTTTGCAAAATACCTTCAGTTGAACTTGTGTTTTTTTGTCTACAGGTAGTTCAAGCATTAGGAAATACAACATTTGAAATTGTGTTTTTAGCAAGACTAGTTGGAAATGTAGAAAATACATTATTTATTCACACATCCAGAGGAGTTTATCCTTATCAGGTAGATTAAAAAGTCCTGAATATTAATATACTGGTGAAAATGGACGTATTAATTGTGGTGAATGATTTTATTATGATCTGTAATTCCTTTACTGCAAAGAATTCCTTTCTTGACTTCCTGTTGTGCTAAATCCCTGTTTTGCTAACATTTTACCTCAGGGTCGAATAATATTGTTGCTTTTTGCGCAAAATGACTGTATACTTACATGCCCTTGTTTATCCATTATACAGTTTCTCTAAAATGACAAGTGTTATTGTAGTTGTAGCGAACTTATAAAAGCTTTGTAAGTACAAGTAGACAGGTTCCTACAGAGTCTGTTACTCATCTTCAAATCCCATTTAATCTAGCCAATAGCCAAGACACATAATCACAGAGTGAGAAGTTTCATAATTCTGTTATGTCCGCATTGCATGGTTACTGTACGTTTCCAGTGCATCATGAAAAAAAGCTTGTTTGACTATTTTGGTAACCTTGAGTCTGGAAAAATAAACAATAATTGTTTATTGTTTTGGAAAAAGTCTGGAAAAAGTCTTGAATTTTGGGTCCAAAAATCTGTATGAACCCTGAGTAGAGTTCTTTGATGATGCTCAACTCTTGGTCCTTTGATTTTTATCAGTGTAATGCTTACTGTTTATCATTTCAGGTGTTTGGAGTTGGGGTTCCAAATCCATACAGATTGCGTCCTTTTCTAGGGGCAAGAGTACCCCTGAACTTTAGTTTTTCTTCTCTCATAAACATGCATAATCCATATAGTTTACCTCTTCAAGTAAGTAGTTTCATGAATTTGGTATTATCATTAATGTGTGCTTGCGGTTTGTTTTTCGCCACTAAAGTCACTCATGACTTGCCAA